TTAGAATGCACATAAGGATCATGAACACCACCACATGATCTCTGAGGTAAACCATCACAGTCTCTCCCAAGCTCTTGGACTAGGAATGTTCTATCCATCACTATACTATAAATCTCTCTGGTCTCTGTGGACAGAAATAAACCAGTGAGGCCAAACTACTCCAAACTCATGTAACTGAAATTCCACAAAAAACGAATCCGTGACCCTAGGGTTTTCTCTGGACAGAGGGAGAAGACATCTATCTACAGCTTCATTTCTGCTTACTGAGAAAATCAACTGCAGAGGAAGCGCTGCCTAAGACTTTAATATGAATCAAAACCACACACATGCACGCGCACACACACACACACACACACATGCACACACACACACATCTTCTGCTGGACCTTTACATAGTTAAAGGGCTATCAGCTTCTGTTATTTTAAAAAGTGCTGTCATAGTCTCTATTGGACTTCTGCGGAGATAGGTCTCCGGGCATGGTCTAGATAATCAGAAGAATATCAGGAGAAAGCCAAATAATACTGCAAAAATATAAAAGGCAATTTATTGTGGAAAAGAGAAATTCTTTGCTAGACATATTTGCCTTAGAGAAATCTCTCTGTCCCTTAATATGTGTTTAGACTGTCCAATACTTGAGAATAACTGTTTGACCTCGGGAGATCTTGTGTGAATGTGTTTTATTCAAAAGGTACTCAGAGAAGACCAAAAGAAATCAGGAAGAATAAAAAAGGCCATGATTACTTCCTACTGGCTGAGAAACCTCAACACAGGTGGCATTTCTCATGCCGACCACCATCCTATATTGTTGTGCTATAAATATTCACCACTGTTCCCATCACTTCTACTACAACTCAGACTCTAGAATATGTAACCCTGTGTGGATCCTTGTGTCTAAGGGTGTTGATATGGTTTGGCTGTGTCTCCACGCAAATCCTATCTTGAATCGTAACTCCCACAATTCCCATGTGTCATAGGAGGAACCTAGTGAGAGGTAACTGAATCATGGGAGTGGGTCTCTCTCATGCTGTTCCCATGATAGTAAGTCTCACAAGATATGATGGTTTTAAAAACAGGACTTTCCCTGCACAAGCTCTCTTCTCTTGTCTGCCATGTGAGACACACCTTTCACCTTCCACCATGATGGTGAGGCCTCCTCAGCCACGTGGCACTGTAAGTCCGTTAAACCTCTTTCTTTTATAAATTACCCAGTCTCAGGTATGTCTTTATCAGCAGCTTGAAAACAGACTAATACAGGTGGGGTTTCCCTGAACATGAAGTTCTAATAAGTTCCAGAGTTAAAACAAGTCCTTCGGGTAGTGAGTAAAATATTCTTAAAGTAAGGGGGAAATTGGCCCTATGAAACATTTATGAAAGGTGTTCTCTCCTACAAATGAGAGCAGGCAGACCTTGACATACAGCAGAGAGGCTAGGGAGCTGGATAAAGCTGCAAACGGTCTGTTTTTGCCTTAGATTTTGGAAATAGTTATATTGAAAATATAGGTTTACAGTAGTGGTGAGCATTGCTGTACTCTAATCTTCTCCTGAAGTGTGGAAACCTTCAGTAAAGGTGGATACATAGCTCTACCTTATGGCACCTGGAGGGTATGCCAACGCCCAACCAGAGGCAAAGTGCTTCCTGGGAAGGATCACTGTCTGTCATAGACGAGGAGACTGAAACAGAAATTGAGAATTCAGCAGAAGCAAACCATTGAACCAGAGATGGCTGGAGATATGCACACTCTTGATAATCCATGAAGATACTGGAGGAAGACTGGGATGGTCATTCAAAGCATTCTATTTGAAAATTAAAGGAGGTGTAACTCCAAAAGGTTTACTATTTAGGAATACCCCGAAAGACACCCGGTTATTATGCATCAAAAACTGACTGTATTCTCTCACTAGTAGAACAGACTGGGAAAAACAGCATTACCCATCACGTCACCTTCCAAAGTTGCATTCCTAGTTACACCACAGATTTCAGTAATTTTTATCTCCCTATAACATTTCTAAAAACAAATCTAAATTGGTAAATTTCAGCAGCCAAAGTTTTCATTGTTTTGCAAGAAAAATTTTACTTGATGATACCTAAAATAAATTCCCAATTTAATTATTTTTTTTAAATGCTTGTTCAGGCACAGTGGCTCATGCCTGTAATCCCAGCACTTTGGGAGACTGAAGCGGGCAGATCACTTGAGGTCATGAGTTCCAAACCAGCCTGGCCAATATGGAGAAACCCCATCTCTATTAAAGTACAAAAATTTGCCTGGTGTGGTTGCATACACCTGTAATCCCAGCTACTGGGGAGGCTGAGACAGAAGAATCACTTGAGCCCGAGAGGCAGAGGTTGCAGTGAGCCGAGATCACACCACTGCACTCCACCCTGGGCAACAGAGCAAGACTCCGTATCCAAAAAAAAAAAAAAAAAATGCTTTGGCCTTTCTGATTCTGCCTTAGAAAATACAGAAAAATATTACCTTAATGAGAATAGTCCTTCCTGAATTTTGTTCAGTCCTCAAAATTATATCTGTGTAAAAAGTCATGACTAGGAAAGTTAAAAAACCACTACAGAAAAAACAATGAAAAGTAATCAACAAATATTTATTGAGCAACAACAAATATTTTACTGAGTTTCCAAAGCATGATACCATTTAGTAGAGATGCCAAAATAAATAAATGCTGGACCCCAAAAAAGTCAAACACAATTATATGCCCAATAAAAGACTAACAATATTTTAAGTTTAAATTTCAGAGACACTTAAAATTATTTTTGCTTTTCTAGTGGTTTGCAAGAATTTCATATCATTTTTTAAATAACTGCAATGTCAAATTAATCTTTCATTTTACTTTCTTCAACAAAATAATTTTATAGTAACATTTTGTGCCTGCAAAATTATTTGCCAAAGAGGTATTTTGTTCATTAAGCCCTAGTGGCCTAAGAGAAGTTTATTGAATACTAAACCAAAAAAGCAGGAGTTATTAACTTTAAGATCTGCTTTCAGTTGGTATCCTGATATATTCAGTCAACACAGTAAAACACCATAAAATTTTACTATGCATAACAAAATTATTGAAAATCAAGACCCATTAGTATGTACTATGCTTATTGCCAGATCTACTGAATATATCTAATGTCAGGTTAGGAGCGTGGTCGTAAATCAGTGTGACACCTGCCCTACGCATCCGTTTCTGGTTTGATCCCTTGAAAGGAGCTCTAGACTTATAGTTCTTAAAGTAGTTAAAGGCATCATCAGAGTAGAAACATTTTAATTATGAAGGTAGTACTTACAGACAATTACAAGATTTAGAAAAATAATGAGAAAAAACTTTTCAAAGCAAATTCCAGCAGGACTTAATAATACTGGACACACAAACCTACAGTGGCTTTGAGTAGCTCAGTTGATGTTTCTGCATGTACTCACCGCCTTGTATGTGAAAGCACCTTAGAAACTACAACATGTCTTATGCTGTTATAATATTTTCTACTACCAAGGCATATTCTACCAGTGCAAGAGATCAACAATGATTACAACATTGATAAGAGGGAGTTAAAAATTTCCAGTCTTGTTGTTACTGACAACAAAAATTCTAGCTGAAAATGCCTGGGAGGGGGATGAATACCCCATTTTCCATGATGTGACTACTATGCATTCCATGCCTGTCTCACAATATCTCATGTACCCCATACATATTTGCACCTACAAAGTACCCACAGAAGTTTTAAAAGAAAAAAGAGAAAAAACAAGAAAATGCCTGGGGATAGTCTACAAAGTTAACTTAATTTTATCTCAGTTGCAGTATTTACTTCTTGCCTTCCTACTGACCTCTTTTCCACCTACATGTGTTCCTGAAGAAAAGCCCAATGGAGATGCTCTGCCTTAGTTCTTTCAAAGTAGTAATATAAAAGTATTCAAGGAACTATTATTACCTTTTTTGCTGCAGATTCTGTCCCTGAGATACAGCCAACCCACACAGATGCAGATGTGAGCACATATCAGTTGCCCCCAAACTTCCAGAGCTCCGAGCTCTGTTCTCTGGAAGGGAATATCATAGGACATCCAACTGTAAAACGTGAAAATGTGGCATATCCTAATTTTCTTCATAGCAGTTGTAATAAAAAATTAAAATAACTTAAGACCATACCCATATATTGAACTTATTTGAACTTGTCCTATCACTGTAGCACCATATTGAAATTCATCAAAATTCAAATAGCTATAAATGAAACATGAATGGTAATAATAACTTCAGATGTTGAAATAATTGCTCAGGATGATTTAGATTCTATAAACATAGTTATCAAAAAGAAAAATAGCATTCTTTGCCCCCAAGAGTAAAAGATTCAGATAAAAATGTTTCCCTAATGAGCAGTGTGCTTGGGTATAGTATTATTACAGGAAAGATCAAAATTCCAATCATCCTTGGTAAATTGCATGTCTGCTAACTTCAGCTATTTTGGGATTTTTTAAAGTTAAACCATTTCCGAGTCACAGAAGAAATATGCACGGTTCCCCTGTGCATGGAAACAAAATGCAATCTATTCATTCCATCTTCTTATTTAAATTCTTTTGAAAATTAGGTGAATCTGATGATTCATGAAACAATCTTTGAGACTACTTTCAATATAGCTTATTGCAGTCTCAGGATGATGGTAATAATAGATACCATTTGTGACTGCTGGACTTTATGTACTTCATTTATAATTCTCATATAAAATCTATATGAGAATCTTTTTGCTTAAGGTATTAATTTGCCCAAGACCACTCAGAGTAAGTGCCAAGAATAAAACCAGGTCTCACACCAAAGTTTGAGCTCTACCCACGAAGCAATGACTTTCACATAATTGTTAGAGATCCTAATAATGTCTTTTTTTTGTACAGTCCCTATATTGTATGCCATAATCTCAGTATCATGTTCTCAATCAAGCACTGTGAGAACACTGACATTCTATATTACCAAGACCAGAAGTTTCAAAGTGAAGCAATTTTCTTTTTTTTTTTTTAGTACAACTCATTTTATTATTTTAGTGCAACAAAACATTTCCAGATTTATTTCCAATTTCAGTTTCAAAACAAAATGACCTGAAATTTTTAGTATTTAGTATCTGTGACAATGACCAATAAAATGTGTAAGAATATAAAAAATAAATTCATTCATTGTTGGTAGTACCCCAAATTCAATGTGTAAGAACCTTTTCTACCTAAAGCATTTTCCTAAAACTGCAAACTAAAAATCCATTTATTTAAAATGCTTACGTGGTAAAATAATCTCATTTGATTACGGATATCATAAATAGAATATAAAAGATATTATATTTCTTAAAATACCATTTATTTCACTGTGTTCAATTCTGGGTTTCCTAACATCTATTCTACAGATCAATCAAAATACAAAGGTGTGCAAATGAAACAAGCTATTGAAATGAAATAAAATTCAAGGAGAATAAAAGTTAGAATTAACTTATGAGGTAACTTTTATGTGAGGAAACATCACAGTTGTAAGGAATGCCTCTTTACAGAGAGTCATTAAGATGTGCATTTTCACGGAGCTATTATTTCATGAGCCCAAAATCAAGCAAAATAAAATTCCATGCTTCCTGGAATATTAAATACCATGCAGTGTACTATTTAAGAAAAGAATAGGGTTAACTAACTAAAAGCAGAACTTGCTTATTTTTTGCTTCCTAGCCAATTAAAAACACATTAAAAGCACTTGAAATGATGTATTTAACCTGAAAAAAAGTTGCTAAAATTCCAATATAAATGTAATTATCTGTAACTTGCTTAACCCATCTATCCCCAAAACAGTGTAGTGGGGCAAAATGTTAAAAAGAAAAATCATCCAGTGCATGTAGATGGGCACGGAGAAGCCAAGCTTCCCAGAGTGGGTACAGAGCCAGCCGCCAGGTGACTCAATTCACGCGCTCCTTTTCTGGGGATGAAAAGGTGCTCGTCAGATCTTTCTATGCAACTGAGAGCTCCTAAATCAAGTCAAAGGGGACCATCGTACTCAAATATTCCATACTTTCCACTGGTCCACCAGCAGGGCTCAGAGGCCATGAGCTGTTCCCCTTGCCCAGGCTTCAGACCAACCTGAATTTCAGCTTTTAATGTTCTTATGGTACAGAGGGGTGCGGGATGGAAGCCATTCAGAGCCTGATGAAATGGAACAGAAAACTCCCATTTTCTGTCACCTGTCAACTTCCTGTAATTCAAATCACCCTTGAATAAAATTAAATGTGCCTTCTGTAGTTCAGCATATAAGTCGGGAGCAACCTGAGGCATTGCACAGAACTCATGAGGCAGAGTCCAAAATATATGATCGTGGTAAACCCATTGACCCATTTTAACATACTCTTCCCAGTCAGCCCCACACTTGGACATCCACTTATGATTACCATGTTTTACCTGTTCAATTAACCAATTAAAATCATGTATAGTAGTATCAGAAACAAACCATGGAATTGTTTTTCCATAAAAATGAACCTTAGTAGCCAGTTCAGAGGACAACAAGAAGTTGGCTAATATTAAATCTGTAACAAGCTCAAACCCAGAATTATCGAGAACAATATACACTCTAGTAACAGAAACTTTTTCTCTTGTTTTCTTGCAATTGCTAAGCAATGACCAAAGATGTTCCATATCATTCAATAAAATGAAAGGTTTTAGGTCTTCCAATGAATTTAGTACATCGGTCTTCTGAGAACTACTTTCTCCACCTGAGAGAGACAGATCACACTTATTTCTCCACAGTGAAATCTGCAGAAGTTTAAAAAACTCATCTTTCAGCTGATTTTCATCTAGGTCTTCAATAGTTTTTATCAATTGTTGCAGGTAAGTACATAAAGCAATGACAGATTCCTGTGACTCATAGAAATTTTGCTCTTTTGATTCTTTAAATACATCAAAGTAATCGATTGGTGGACTCTGGATAATTGAAAGTGAAGCAATTTTCATAATGCAGCCATTTAGTGGGTAAGGTTATCAATTGGATATTTGGAAAATTATGTTTCTCTCTTAAAAAGTTATATCAGATGGGCTGGATCTCCAAACTCAATGTGAGAGGTGTGTATTTCTCCTGCCCAAGATTCACTTCCTCAGCTGGGTTTAGAAAATCACTATAAGTGTAACCCTGGGGCCAACAGCCTTAAGATTATCTGGGTGCTTGTTAGAAATGCACAACCTCTACCAGCTGAATCAGAATTTGCATTTCAACAAGATCTGGAATCTCATATCCTCATTAATGTTTGAAATGCCCTGCTACCCTACCCCAGCCTAGGTTCCTAATTATTCCATTTCTTTCCTGTTTTCTTAATTTCTCTCTGTTGGTTTTTATATTTTTTCCTCACATGAAAACATTATTTTAAAAAGTCCTCTGCTGAATCTGCACCCTCATTCCCCTCATTTCTCTTCTTTTCTCAACCAAGTGCCGTGAAGGAGGTTTCTATAATTCCTGAATCCGTATCTTCTGTTCACTTCTCACCACACTGCAGTATAGTTTAGTCACCTACCAAATATCTGACCGTTACTATGTGCCAAGGACTGTATTAGACTCTGAGGAAAAAATGGTATACAAAA